TGTTTTTTCAACTATTCGTTTCATTCATCAACAGAAAATACCAAATTTATCATTCATCAACAGAAAATACCAAAGAAAATGAATGCAGAATTAATTTGGTATACATGCTTTTATTCAATAACTCGAGAAATTCACTGATTTTGAAAAAAAAAAATCACTTCACAAAGAACCGCCAATACTTGAAAAATCGGCAAAGTTTGTTTTACTCTAAGAAATTTATCAAAAACTGGTCCATTCGACACACAAATCCAATCATATACGCTTCGTTCAAAACCCAACTGGTAACTGATGTACTTCTAAAAATGTGACGGCAACGAATCGCAGTAAATATGTGTGCCTCATAAAAATACATTTCACACTTCTTTAAATTAACATATACAACTGCAGCCGGTTAGCCGCTGCACAAACCTGCTGTAAACGGTGAATTTAACTCCAACGCAAACTTTCACAAGTCACTGACACCTCATTGTTATTTGGTCTGTTTACATTCGCTGCTGTGTGACTCATACGATGTGAATGAACCAGTTGTTGGCCTGAATGAACCGAATATAGATTGTATCGCGTTGAAATTGCTCCAATATGCTCAAATGGAATGAAAATAAGTCGATGTATTCATTGGTCTTTTATTGCATACGTTTTATGTCTTGACTTCTGTATCGTGAAACTAGTTCAATAAAACAAGTGAACTTCGGATATTATTCAAGTTTCATCCAAAATACTCAATATTTTTTGTCGGATTTATTTTTTTAGCCTAGAAGGAAAATACTGATTGAAAATATATATATGAGTATGCTTGATTTACTTACTTTTTCTTTATATTCACATATTATTTGCATACATTTGAATACGCAGGGCTATTTTTAGTATTGACTCAATACTATTGAGAGTTTGGCTGTGATTCTAAAGACTGATTTTTTATTATAATTTCAATGGCAAGATTCCATTTTATAGCAGTTTTTCGATAGCCGATTACTCAAAAAACAATTGTTCCTACATAAAAAAAGTAAAAACACTACATTAAACTACATAAAATCTACAATTGAAATCGCCCTACCCGAAGTCATTTCGGCAAATTTTCCAAGATTTGAATATTCATCTCATATTCTAAAATATATTCTATTCAAAGGCTACTACATAATAATTTCTAACAAATTGAACATTGAACCTAAAGTTGAGCCGAATAATTTTAGAGCCAAACATGAAATCAAAATGTGTTTCTTATTTAATAATTTTGGGAGTTTCAATTGATTTCACATTCGGATTGATTGTTTTAGTTCGTCCCCCTTTCGTTAATCTTTTTAAAATGATTCGCTGACCGTGGTTGTTTTAAAGTTGGTTTTTTCAAACTAGCGTCATCGACAAACTGGCACTTCATTTGCAAGCTTCTATAGAATAGGAATAGTAGTGTTGATTTTGGGCTTGGAATTTACAGCGTTAATAACATGATTTCTCCACCCAATTGTTCATCTGTGAAAAACAACTATTCAATGAGAAAAATGAAGATAAAGTTAAAAAAATGCAAGTCTTTTTGAGCTATGGACTAAACTGTTTCATACATTGCGTCCATTAACGCTAATTTCTCCTTCAATAATTGATGATTTTAATAAAAAAAAATTCAAAGAAAATTCGGTACTTTCAGAAAGAAAACACATTTTGCGTTCAATTTCGTTTTCTTCTAAAGCAGTAAATCTAATTACTTCTCTTACGGTATGAAGCAAACCATTTTGTTCCAAAGCCAATCGGTAGTCTTCGCTAATTTTTTTCCATGATTTAAATTTTCAATGTAGAGTTTTCGCACTTTTGTGTAAAGTATGATTGGCCAGCATTTCAATCACATTTTCAAGCACACTGCAACGGTTTGCCGTTTACGAAACAGTATAAAGCGGTTAATAGGAGGATGTATGGCATCGCATGAACATTGATCTGCTTACGCGAGATGCGTCCTACCTATCTACTTCCTATCATTGAAAAACACCTTCAATTCTTTCATTTGTCGTTTCGGCGTGTTTTCTAGGAATCACAGATCAATTGATCTCGACCGATCTTTTTTCTTTCAATTCGATTTGCAGTTAGTTAAACAGGAAAAATAAAAATTCTATTTCATGTCATCGTTTTCATTTTAACTTCGAGGCAAAAAACGAAACCATAAGCCATTTTACACGTTTTATGCGTCAGTAATAGAATATCAGCATATCAACGCTCTCTTTTTGGCATAATTCTACGAGTTGAAGAAGAAAGAAGTGGTTTTAAACAACCAAAAAAATGGTAAAAAATTTAATCTCCTCAGTTTTGTGTTTTAAAGATTCTTTTTCCTGTTTAGATGCTGAATTGTTAACAGGTGACTCGCTACAGTAATGCTGCGATGAAACGAGATGCAAATGAAAAGGAATTCATGTTTATGACATGTAGTAAAATTTGAACATGCAACTGTGTATTCATTGAGAGTGTTTCGGTATTAATCCCGTCGAGACAGGTAGACATTTACCAAGCTCACACACATGCACTAATGACACAAATTTGAAACAAAAAACACCAAAAGAACAAGCATAACAACAAAATAATATGTGTGTTGCCTGTTGCAACTTCTCTTCTCTTTTACGCATAATTCGTTGAGTACTTCTATTGGTTGTGGAGTAAAAACATCATTTACTTCGCAAGTAAAGTTTGAAAATTAGTATCGAGCTACTAGGTAACCATAAAAGCATTGGCCAACATATACTTCGAATACATACTTTGAAATGCAACATTTGTTGACGCTCTTCTTTGTGCTGATATCCAAAAACATTTCGGTTGCGTTTTTATATTTCAGTATTGATGCAGCATTTGAACTAAGCTGATTACACCCGAAAATTGGCTTGTGTTTTTGGGCGAAGATAAAATACCAGTTTGATTTAAAAACAGAAATAGTTTTTTTGGGCTAGAGTAAAATAGAGTTTCACTTTTCATATTTGTATTCGAAGCCCGAGAGACCGGTTGCTTTGAACTATTTGACATTTTTCTGGTTTCATAATTGAAAGTGTTAAATCGCATTTTTTCGGTGAGTTTTTGAATCATTTCGATTCGTTTTACCATAAAAATCAATATTTTTCATCAAAATAATTGAATTATTCTTCAACTTTCTATATAAAAAGGCATTTTTTTTTCTTTTATACTATCATCATTTCCTCTAACCAAAGTGTTTATTTTCAAAAATTGGAAAACCACCCACAAAATAGGGTCAAAAATGACGGAGACTACAAATAATTTATCTACCGTGAATCAGCCGAGTACTGCTTCAAATCAGTCAAGAGGTATTGATGCAAACGCAAAAGCTATACCGAAATCCGAATTAAATCCAAGCGAATTCGATATTCCAGCGGCGCGAGATTCGCCGCAGCACATTTTAAATATCCTGAACAATGATTGCATCCAAGAGATAATGCGTCGTTTAAAAAACAATCGAGATTTATTGAGTGCAGCCGAGGCGTGTACGTGTTTCCAAGAGAATATCAAATATGTGTTTCCATCGCAATTAAAAACCCTTCGT